GAGAAACGTCTATCTATCATATTGACTTTTAAGCCCTCTTTATATGTCAAGGAAATTAGCCCTGTGACTATAACATGAGTTGCAAGCACTTTTCACAGACTGCCATATCTCTCTGATTTTATGTCTTTTCCCTCTTTGCAGGGTTTGGTATCGTACTCAGGAAGACCTTGCCCACTGCAGAACTATTACTGTTTTTTAAGTGGCTTTACATATTTTCTTCTAGCAAATTTACAGTTTAATTATTTTCCAGTCATATCTTTTCTCAAACTAAATGATTTTGGTGTAAAATAAGAGGTAAGAATACAAATTTATTTTCTTCAGATAGCTACCCTATTGTCCCAATACTGTTTCAATAATCCCCACTCTATTTGAACTGCCATGCTTTTATTTACCAAATTCCTACCTGTATTTGGAAGCATATGTGGATTGGATCATGTTTCCTCCAGGGGACCCACATCTGGGTTGTGTGGGAGCTGAGAAGACCCTGAAACTGCAGAATGGGAGGGTCCTCACCCCTGTCTGCCTCAGAATCTCCTATAGATGCCCCTGCCCCTCATCTCTAATCAGAAGAGTCTTACATGCAGGAGCCTGAGAGCTCCCCAGTGTGAGGCTCATCTCCAAGGGGACTGGTGTCCATTTAGACACTTCACAGAGTCAGAGGAAGAAAATACCATGAGCTTACTCGACAGCATACTCAGAGGAAGCTGTTTGCCTGAGACGCACCGATCCAATGCAGCGGTGCCGTGGCTCACGTTCTCTAAGCCAGGGCACCGCGCTGCGTGCCAGGCCGGCGGCGCTGTCAGCCTGAGCAAGTGACATGCAGGACGCTCGATTACATTTGAGTTTCAGATGAATGATAAATCATTCGTTAGTCTAAGTGTATTCCCAAATGATAGGGAGAATACACTTATACTAAAACAATTGTTCCCTTCTTATCTGAAATCAAAGCAGGGGTCCCCGCTTTGTCTGGATCTGACTTGGTCCTGCTGCCATACAACCAAGCCAAACACCGGCTTCTAGGACCCAGTGACCCACCCCAAGGCTAATACATATTAAGAAAGAAAGGCAAAGAGGGAAGTTTTGAGAATGACCTATGAGGGCCTGAAGCTAGAAGGAGCAGGTGGCTCCTGATCTAATCGTCTTTAGTCACCATAGAAACAAGCCATGAAATCCACCAGAAAGACCTGGTAAACAATATCTATCTCCTCACCATCAATACTGACCATCCACATTCCCTTCCCTGATTAGGTCCTGTCAGGCCTGGTTTCATTGTCCCAATGTCTCCCCCAGGAGACAGCCAGGACCTTCCCTGCCTTCCTCTTCCCAAGGCCCCGGCTCCCCTTCCCAGCCACAGCCTTAGATGGCTCCCTGCACTGCCCACCGTGTTGGGAGAGACAGGCAACTGGATACCCAGTCCTGTGTCAAAAAAAAAACAAACAAAAACCCAACAACAACAACAATTAAAAAAAAAACAACCCAGAACCAGACAGTACTTAAATGATAAAAACAATATGGCAGTCGGGAGAAAAGAGACCTCAGTCTATGCAGAGCTATGCAGAGCTCAATTCCAAATACAGCCTGGGCAAGTGATCATTTATAGCCAAAGGGCAGGGTGGGGTCAATGGAGGACAATTACTAAGAGGAAACCTCAGATAAACATGGCTAAACCGACCCAGCAGGATTCAGGCTGGGCCCTCAGACACCCCCTGGCGGGGGACGGTGGCGGATGAGAGAGGCAGATGATCACATATGGAGAGTGAGCTGTTGTAGTTAAAGTCGACTTTGCAAGGTTCTTGCTAAAACTGGGTTTTATAAGCACACAGATGGACCTGGGAGAAGGTTCATGAGCTTGACGACAGTTCCATCAATCAAAGGATCTGTCACCTGCCCATCACATGGTCATATCCTAGGAGAGGAATAGGCCATACATGAGGGAAATAGCCCAAGGACATAAAGCGAATACCTGTTCTAAACAAAACAGGTCTGACTGGACTGTCTCCGTCCTTCCCAGGACAAAATAACTCTCCCTTAATCCAGAATGTGATTAAATTGATTGGGAAAATGTTCAGTCTTTCAGACTAGCCACAGGCTGGCAGTGAGCTTTGAATACAAATGCAGGGGTTTGCACGGATGGGTTTTATTTGATTCTGGACATTAGTGGCTCTTCGGAGGGGAGCATACAAATTTCTTCAAAATGTCCCTGCCTTTGGGAGAGAAGGCACTTATGCAAACTATGAGACGTGCCCTATGAGGCCTGGCCTGGGGTCCTTTCCGAACCTGTCCGCGAGGCCGGCCCTGGCCTCGCAGCAAGTGAGCCAGTCCTCCCAGGGGCCCCCACAGCGCCTCCACTTCTGTGCCCCTTCCCTTCACAACAAGCTGTGAATATGATCCTTCCCATTTTCCAGATGGGAAAGTAGAGCCCTGAGTGTGCGAACCATGGTCATTTTGCTCGAAGTAACACACCGCTTCCAGCCTGGAGCGGCCCTCTCTCTCTTCCCTAGTCTGGACAACTTGCTCAGATGTCATATCTACTCATGAAGATTCTGTACTCTTAGGGACACGTGGAGAAATTTCCATCTCTGTCCACACCCACCCCTTGTACTCAGTAAATTTCCTCCCTTTGCTGAAAATTTACTCCCTTTCACGTAACTCCAGTCTTCATGATCTTCAGGCAAGCTGTGGTCTTTAGTCAGGACGATCACATCTGAGCAGTTAGGAAACACCACACAAAGGGGCTGGCCCACCGCTGACCTTCTAAAAAGGCTCAGGAAGGAATTAGGTTTGAGTTGTGGGCATGTTATTTAACTCACAAGTCACAGCTTCTAAAATTACAAGGCAAATTTGTATCCAACATATACATTAAGCTCTGTCTCTGAATTTCATTAAATAACAATCCAAAGAATCTTGCAAAGCCTGTGTATGAATACACATTCTCTACTGATCCTTCTCTACTTTTCTCAGAATTCCTGTATCCGGAGGCTGCGGTGCCTTAATCCCAGACTCGCTGCTACCTGAGGACACTAATGTCAACCATGGTTTTCACCTGTAAAGCCCAGTCTATTCAGGCTGGCAGAGACCTGGAGCCTCGCTGCAGGTCATTCCCCATGGTGTCCAATGGTGGTATTTGCCCCACATGACCCTTCTCCACCTGGAGCAATTCTGCTCCTCCATCAAGCCCTGCTCGAATCTCCCCTGGATTCCAGCACACAGGCGGCTGTGAGAACTGAGGCCACCATGGTCAAGCTCCCAGCACAAGTGGACACGGGGGGGCGCCTGTTCCAGCGTAGCCGGTTGTCGCTGCCATGCCCTCACTCCTGCCTCTTGAGGAATCCCATGCTTATCCCAGCTCCCTCTGCCTCTTACATGTTACTGTGTGGTTACCTGTGTAGCCATGTTAACCGTGGTCACTCCTCTCCTCTATAAAATCCCAGACACTTTCAGAGTTGTCTTTGGGGTCTCACATCTGGCTCTGGGCCTGGCACGTAGTGGGCTACATGTATATCTCCAAACAAACTCTCCTGTCGTAGGCTCCAGGGACAGCAGTTTGATGAATGTTCAAAACATGGTAATAAATTAAAACTCATTTTATGATGTGGCTATAGAGACAGACAAAGACTGTGTTACTAGTGACATCATGTCCGGCTGGTGACACCATTGATCATTAGTAATGTTTACTTCAAGGCGGTGCCCTTGGCTTGGACATGGTGCGGGGGGCGGGAAGTGGTCCAGAGTCCCACTGAGTGTGTCACTGTGACCTGTGGGAACTGCTCCGATGGCGACGGGGCTGTCTAGCCGGTACACACTGCACCAGCCTGCCCCTTGGGGCAGACGCTCTGCTTCACTGATCTCTCCAAGCCCCAGAATCTCAGTAATTATTTTGGGATAACAGGATTAATTCCTTTTAAATCGCATGAAACTCACAATTTTGTTGAGGACAAGACACTCAGAAGAAACCTCCTTCTGAGTCTTCCATCTCCCCCGCTGTCTTATGAGAACAGGCTCCAGAGAAAAAAAGTTTCCAGAGGGTCTGTGGGTCAGACGCACTCCATGCCCACCCACACCTCTGTGCCATTCCCTCTCCTGGGAAGCCCCTTCCCCTGTCAGGAGATCTTCTAGTCAGGTCTTCCTGCAGTAAAAGGTTCTGGTGCAGTCCCCTGAGAGTTTTTCTGATTCAATATTGGTCATTTTCACAAGGTCAATCTTGGGGTAAGCAAGAAGAGTTGGCTGGCCCTATCTCTGCAACTTCAGTAACAAAATCTGAAGTGACAGGGAAAATGTGCCTACTGGGTCAGAGGCAGTTCCTGAAGGCCCTGGGCTCCAACCTGCCGTGTGACAGCCATGGGGCACAGACAAGAAATCTGTGACGAGGACAGAGTGCAGTCGGGGGCCGAAAACCAAGAGCAGGGTTGTAAAAGCAGGAGAGTTTCTGCAAACAAACCTAAGTCGTTTTGTGATTGTCTCCGAGCAGCATCAGGAATCCACGACAAAGCCGTAGACTAAAGAATCTACCACCCTTCACTACCATGATCATCAGCAAATCACTTGGCTGCTCTAAATTTAGTTCCCTTAGCTATAATATGGTCTCCCAAAGAACAGGGACTAGCTTCCTACTCGGCTTTTCTGGAAGATGTGAGCAACACCGCGGGCTGGGATTCCTAGGACAATTCCCCGGCTTCCTGGAAGCTCCCTAGGTTCTATGCGGAGAAGAGATTCCCACGCTGGACATGAACGCTTCATAGTTTGCCTCTGACATGATTCAGCTCAGCCTCTCTAAATGGTTTACAAAACGCTCTAGCATCCAAGATCCATCCTCATTGCATCGTCCCATCATTTCCTTTTATAAAGGAGGAGACCTGGTCCCGTGGGAAACCGAGCGCCAGGGTCCAGCCCTGCAGAGCGTGGGCACCTGGGCTGGGCAAGCGCAGCTGCCCAACCCGGCGCGCTCCCGGGGGGCGGAGCAAACCGACAGGGGGCGGGATCCGCGCGGGTCACGTGACTCCCGGACCGGAAGCGCTAGCCAAGCGACCCCCAGGTGACCGAGTCGTGGGCTGTAGTTTCCAGTGATCGTGGAGGTCGCGGGGGTCCCTGCAACGGCGCGCTCCCCTCCTCCGCCGCCATGGCCTGGACCAAGTACCAGCTGTTCCTGGCCGGGCTCATGCTCATCACCGGCTCCATCAACACACTCTCAGCAAAGTGAGTTCATGGCCGGCGGGGAGGGGAAGGGGCTCTGTCGGGCCTGCCGCAGCCCGCGCGGGCGCTGGCGACCCCCGCGCACCTTCCCCGCCCTGCCCTTCTCAGCTCTCCCCTCTCGGCTTCACCCGCTCGTCCAGTTTCTCCGGTCGGTTCGCTTGGTTTATGTACCACCCAAGGGGTGCCAGGCCTGGGGAACTGCGGGGCGGGTTCGTGCCCTCGGCCGGAGGGTCCGAACCCCGGCTTTGACTCGCTGTGTGCCTGATCCTTGCGAGTCACGTTACGCCTCCGCGCTTCAGTTTCCTCATCTTTAAACGGGAGGCTTGGACCAGTTCCTCTCCAGGACCCCTTCCAATGGTGGCGTAGGAGGCCCCACCCTCCAGGAGCTGTGGGGGTGGCGGGAGGGGACGGGAGGAGGCTCCCAGACGTGTGCACGCGTGCTGCACTAGAGGCCCTGGAAGCCGAGTGATCGATCAGTGAGCGTAGAGGGCTGCGGCGGCAGAGGGGGGGCTGCTCTGTCAGACGCTCATGGAAGAAGGGTTACAGCGGGAGTTTTACATGTGCCAGGACATTGAGGCAGGGAACAGCCAGGCCAGATGCAAGAAGGTTGTGACTAGCACCAAATGTCCAAGCTGCATTTTATCCCATAATCAAAGAGAGGCTTTAGAGAGAGGGGTATAAGGGCACTAAATGGTAATGGGAAAAATACAATACAGACTGAATCAAAAGAGAGAGAGAGGCTTTTGAGCAGAGGAGCGACATGGTAAAAGTTGATACGATGAACCTGGTGGTCAAGGCGAAGAGTAGTTTTGCGCAGTGAAAACCATCCCAAGGCTGCTGCACAGTAGATGGGGGCACTAGGAGGTGGGAGAGGAAGAGGCAGGTGGGAGAGACAAGGTGCAGAATGAAGCCACAAGGCCTGACCCACAGGCTTGAGAGACAATGGTCACTCCAGGATTTGTCTGAGAGAACCGAAGTGCCGTTAACCCCGACAGGGAGGGCAGGTGGGCAGGCGGTTCAGCCACCATGTATGAGAGTGCGGTGCTGGTGGAACAGTTTAGGATGCTGGCGATTGAGGACCCAGGGCTGTCATGAGGCTGAGGGACCAAACACAGCCTCTTCTCTGTAATACACGAGGAGGACCAGGGCCCAGGAGGCAACCCCTTCTCCTGGCAGCTCTTTGCCTCTTTCTCAGCCCCTACCTCAGAGCAGGGCCATCCATCCCTCTGTTCGCCATCAAAGAGCCCCAGGACCCAGAGCCCGATTCTGACGCACGCATGGAGAACAGTGGAGAGGGGTCTCCCAGTCAGACCTCACCTCCACCTGGGCCCTGCCAGGCTCCAGAGCTAAAGGGGGTCACCGTAGTCACCTTCTGGCCTGTGCTTCCTGGGCTGGTCCTATCTTATTCACTTTTGAGTCTTTTGTTCCTAGCACACTCTATTAGTGATGTGAGAAATGCCCCAGAAGAAAGCATTTCTGGGAGAGATGCATCCTATTCAATTCGTCAGACACGTATAAGATACCTACAGTGTCTGAGGCCCTGTCTGGACTCAGGGAAATAGACTGAAGTGACTAAAAAAAGGTCCTTGCCTTTGAGATGCCTAGAACCTGAGGTGGAGGAGACAGATGTGTACACACTCAGCCACACAATGTCATCCCTTCTCCAAAGGAAGCGGGGCTCTGGGAGGGGGCCCCTTCTCTGTGTCAGCTGTGTCTGTGTCTGTCTTGCGCTGGTCTGCGCCCAGGGGCCTCCTGGAGGTCACTCCTTCTGTGAGCCCTTAGCTGTAAAGGAGACTCACTCTGAGGGCCCCATATCAAGTTAGGATTTGAACACAGCAGAACAGGTCGCAGTCCATCCATCTATAGCATCAGCCAAGATCTCAGTCAAGTGCTTAGAGAGTGGATGCCAGGGCCACTGTCCCCAAGGAGGGGTGAGATTGCTAGTTACTACTGGTGTAAACTGTGCTGGCTCAGCTCCTTCCCTAAGAAGCTCCAAACTGGTCAGGTAGGAAGCCAGAGGATCCTCATCCTCAGGGGGCCTTGCCCTGAGAGGCAGGAAAGAGGCTCCCAAGGGGGGACCCAACCCTTGATCTGTCCCCTGCCCTATAGCCTGAGGCCCTGTCCTACCTGAGATGGGCCCCAGAATTGGACTCTAAATAGTGTTGTAAGGCCAGACTGTGAAAGGATGCTCTCAGAGAGAAAGAACCTGGGAAAGGAGCCGTGTGCATCCTGATGGGAATTAATTATCAGTTTGAAATCACAATCTGACCCGCAGTGTTTGGCGGGGACAGACAGACAAGAATGTGATCATAGCAAGTGCTAATCAGCTAACACCCAGAAAGGACTGCACGCCAGGCCCCTCTCTGGCCGCCTTTCATGTGTTAACTTAATGAATTCTAATATCCACCCTGGGAGGTAGATAAACTCATTGTCCCTGGATTAGGAAACCGGAATGGAAAGATGGACTTGCTTGCCCAAGTTTAACCATCTTTATGGAGTTTATATTTGAGCCTATGGAGTCAGCTCTATGATCCATGCTCTTACTCCTCAGTATGGAATGAAGCTGGGGACTTGTCTAAGTCATTTTTCCAGGCATTTGGAGTTGTTAGAAACCGAGAAATCATCCATTCTAAGGCCCACAATTTACCGTCGAGGTCCCAGGAGAGGTTCCTGTCTGTGACTCAGCTGACTGGTGTCAGAGCAGAGACCAGAACCTAGGCCTCAGAATTGTAGTCCAATCCCATTACTTTACAACTGCGGTACCCAAAGTCCCTCTTCGTTGGGACTTTCTCTCACATCCCCCCAGGTAAGAACGGACAGACATGTACCCACGGAAGGGGTGATCCTGTAAGCGACATCTCCCCACCTGTCTCTCAGAGCACCCTCCCTCTGGGGCTGGGCGGCAAGCCTCTGACCCAGCCCAGGAGATCCTGCTGTCACCCTGCTTGGTCTCCGCCTCTAAGCCAGAGGCCATGCAAGATTCAGGTTTAGAGTCTCTAGGAGCCTCTTGCAGTTCCTTGGCCTGGGAGGTGGGCGTGTTCCCCTCCCCGGTCCTTGGGAGGACTACAGACAGCCGAGCAGGAAGGGAGCAGGAGCACGTGCTGCCTGCCGTGGCCCAGGTCAGCCCTGCACCGGAGAGGCCATGCTGCCCACTCAGCAGGTTAGGCTGTGCAGCAGGCGGAGGGGCCTGCTCTGGCTGGGCTGGGGGTGGGCGTCACATACCCTCACAGACCTACAGGAGGGAATCCTGTCCAGCAGGCTGTCCCTTTAGCCTTGTCCCTGGGTCTCAGCAGAGGGCCTCTTCCTGTGAAGTGGCTCCTTCTCCTTTCTGTGGCTGCTTTCACCCCAGGAAATTCTGCTGATGCATCTCCTGGAGACCAAACGTTTCTCCTTCCTCTGCGCTGCTTTGGTCTGCCTGCCTGAACCAGTGCCTATCCATGGAGTTGTGCCACTTCTGGGCCCTGCTCTCCTGGATCCTGCATGTTCTGCATGTAAAGAGCCAAGATCAAGTAGACACTCACTACGTAAGGCTCAGATCCCCTCCTAAACATCTGCAGGGTGTGAAGCAGGATGTGAAGCGCACCCAGCCAGGGAGGGGCCATGGGGTGACTTCCCCTCCACCCATGAGGCCCGCTGGGCCCAGAGACCCTGCCAGGAAAGTGGCAGGAGGCCTGGGACCGCTGGGCCTCTGCTGAGGAAGGACTCTCATTGTCCTTTCTGTGCCACCTCTAACTTTTGCCTTGGCCGCTGCCCCCACCCTTGGGTTCCATGAGTGGCATGGGATCCTTGCTTCCTGGGCCAGCTAGAGGGAGCCTGACGTCAGAAGGGCAGTGTAGGAGGGTGGGGAGAGCCTGAGAGCTGGAAGCCGTGGGGTCAGATGAGTCAAGGGGCCTCTCCAAGCCTCAGTTTCATCTCTAAAATGCGCACGACTTCCCACCTTTTCCCCAGACACAGGTTAAGATCTACTGAGCATGGTTTTCTAATTGCACTTAGAGATGAGAGGGCTTGTCCCATTTACGATCACATAAGCCAGGGCTGCCCTGGAGTGGAGCAGCCCTTCTGCTGGTCCCGCTGTGGGAGAAAGGAGCTGACTCACTGGGCCTAACAAGCCGGGAACTCGAGAGGAAATGGCAGAGATTCTGCGGCGCACGGCCACACGGCCAGTCGGTCTGAGGCAGCCACATCATCCACTTCCTCCGCCTCAGTCCGCCACACCAGCTCACGTGCAGATACGCTCACCTCCCAGAATGCTGAGCTTTGAGTTTAACTGGGCAAGGCCATGTATAGTGACTCACCCCACAACGAAGGGAGCCGGCCCTGGAGACCAAGGCTTTCCCCTGGATACAGTATCTGCAGAGAAAGGGGGTGGGGCCACCCGCAGAGCTGACCCCTCCCACCTCAGCCAGGAGAGTGGGAAGAAACTGGAGTGAGGAGGTGGTAAGAGAACCTCAAGTGTGAGGAATGGGCTTGGAAATAGAGGCGGAGACTCCTAGTTCCGCCCCTCCTGGGCACCTCACGAGCCTCGTTCCTCGGCCCTGTCTGGTCCCTTGTCTGAGTTATAAAGAGCTTCGTGGCATGACAGGGCTGAGTTCCTCCTCCCCTGCAGCACTTTGCGGCTCTATGGGCCTGCTGGGGCAGCCGCCTGAGGCCTGCTCGCCCCTCTGCCTCAGACAGAGGGGTAGGTCCCAGAGAATGGCTGCTCTCCCAAAAGCTTCCGGCTGGAGCCTGACGTGACCCAAGGGGCCATGGCTCCTGCTCAATAGAGGGGAAGAGGACGAGGGGCAGAAAAGAACTTCGACTGAACCCCTGCCATGTGTCAGGTCTTCCATATCTCATTTTATTTATCACTTTTGACAATTCATCAGTATTATCCCCATTTTATAGATAAGGGCACTATAACTTGTCCAGCCTGTGAGACTCGAAATCAGCTTCCCATGTAGCTTGCTGCCCTTTTGTAAATTCAGGCACATGGGTTTGGGCCTAGATCTGCCTGTTGTTACCTATATGAGCCCGAACACGCCTCTCTCCACCTGCCCCGCCCCCAACACCTTGAAGTCCCCATCCATAAGGTGAGGATCCTTGATGTGAAGCTTAAACCAGACAACCCACATGAAGTGCTCGGCACAGGCCTGGCGCAAAGTCAGTACTTGGTGAGTCCTCTATTTATAGAAACATTTTAGTGACCGGTTTTGCAAATGGCCAAGTGCTATCCCACCTCAGGGGTTATTGCCGTCAACCCCCGATGAACTGGGACTGGATTTTGGCTCTTGTTCTGTGCTGCCCGATGTCCTGCGCCTGCACAGTGAACTGAAGCCTGTCTCAGGGCCAGCGCCAAGAGAAGCCTGACTCTCCCCAAAGTGCCTGCTGGCCTGCTCCCCTCCCTGGCCTGACCTTCCCCCTGGCCCGAGGAGAGGCCGTACGGGGCAGCCTTTCCTGATGATACCTAATCCCTCGGGCTATACGCCATCCCCGGCCCTCAGATACAAAAAGGCTCCTTTTCCCCAGCTGGGAACGCTGCCAGCCCCAACCTGTTCAGGCAGACCTACCCCTTGAAGAAAGCAAAGACGGCCCTTTGGGGTGGGAGGAAGGGAGCTCAGTGCCAACCCTATAGCCAGCTCCCCACAGTGCCCCCCACCCCCCAGGAAAAGACAGGCCCAGCTTGTCCCACCAGCAGGTGATGCCCCAGACCAGGTGGGAAATTAGGACTCATGAGTCATGGCCTCTGGAACATATGTAGTACCTGCCTGTTTGCTTGGAGGGATCTGGAAGTCTCATTCATTCAGCTAAAAACTGAGCTTCTGTATAGAAGGTGCCAGATGCAGGGGCTTGAGAGATGTAGGAGCTGCTGGGTGCTCAACTCACACTCTCAGGTGACGATGACTGTGGAGCCAGGAAGTGATACAGATGTGAGTTGTCATTGCTGTAAGCTGTGTAGGCAGTAGTTGGGCGGGGGGGCGTGGTCTGGCAGGTGGCTTCACCACTGGGTCTGGGGTCTTCCTGAGCCTGCCAGTCTCTGCTCTGGAATGAACAGATGAGGAAGGAGCTTCCATAGCTACCCGTTGATCTTGTGGACTTGGCAGGCTCTCCCTCGCCCCTCCTGGAGGAGCCCTGGCTCCAGCCCCAGGAGATCCGACCTCTCTGACCTGCTCACTTGCTCCCGGGAAGTTGGTTCTGTGCCCTCGCTGAAGTCTGACCCATTCACTCCTCTGTTTCACTCAGTTGCCTCCCACAGACCGTCCCGCGGGCTTTTTCTGCAAAAGTGAGCCTGATTGGAAAGCAGGCCGGCCCTGAGCCACAGTTTGTCTGTGGCCCCCACCCACATCCCATGTGCTGCCCTCCCTGGGGATCCAAGGGCCAGAGCCTGGAGCAGGTCAGGCAAGACCTCAGAGAGCAGGTGGTTATAACCTGGTCCCCTGACCCAGGTTTCTCTCTGCCTTCCCAACCACCCTGGAGCTTCTCCCCACCCTGCTGCTCTCCTGAGAGCTTGTCATTCCTGAGAACCACAAGCCCTCCTAACTGCCCCTGTCACTTGGCATCTCAGGGAGTGGGTGGGGGTCCCCCTCGGTGAGATAAGTCGGCCTTAGCCCTGTTTGTCCACTCGCCCTGGGAGGTGTTCAGACCTCGGAGCAGATGGAGTCTCTCCCTCGCAGGTCTATGCTACCCTCACGCGGGACCAGGAGCTCCACCACCACTCAGCCCGCCGTTCCCACTGCCGGCGTCCGGGCATCGTGCCCTTGCCCTGGGCTGTGGGGAAGAGCTTCCTGTTCCCTCCCAAACTCAGGACACCGAGAAGCCAGGGCTGGACAGGATGTTTGTCAAATGCAGACCCTAACTGCTGGACACAACCAGTGGCCCATGCTTGGGGCTCTGTGGGGGCACAGGAAGCAGAAGGCTCCCCTGCCCTGTAGGAGCTCAGGCTTGTGCAGATGACCGGAGTAGGGCTGGGCATTGTGGTGTGACTGTCCTTGATAGACACTGAAGGAAAGATTCGTAAGAGGAAGAAGTCCTGAATCTTTCAGTTTAGAGGCAGCCGCTGCCTTCTGTGGGGCACCGCAGAGAGAGCAGGTCAGTGGCCCACAGGAAGCCGCCCGGGGTCTGCACTGACGGGACTCAGCAGTGTGACACAGCTGAAGTTGTGTCACCTAACAAGTCAGCAGATGCAGTCAGTCATGTCAGCTAACCAGGGCATCCAGCACAAGGGAGGGGCCGCTGTCCTGCCAGGCTCGGTCGGGGCCAGATCACATGCCCTTGGCCCTGGGCCTGGGCCCATCAGAGCGCTTCCAGAAGCCGGCAGCCAGGGAAGTGAAACGTTAGGAAGGGCTGGGGCTGTTTAGCCAGGAGATGAGAAGATTCAGAAGGCGGAAAGTCTCCAAATATCTGAAGGGCTTTCAAATGAAAGAGATCAGACTAGGCCACAGGGACACACGTAAGCCCAGCAAAAATGAAATTCAGGGATGGGAATGTTAGCACACAGACGTGGATGGCGGCAGTGCCTGAGGGATTCTGGGCCTGTGTGTGGGCCCAGCAGGGAAGCGCGCCATAAGCAGTTACGCCGTCTGCCGGCGCTAATGCCGGATACTTGCCACCTGCTTCAGAGTCTGCACTGGAAAGACCCTCCAAACCCTTCAGGTTACATGAAGGTGACCAGGTGGTCTGTGTCAGAGGGTCATTTCCCAGGGCCCAAGCGCCCTTGTAGACCAGCGGCTCTTGATATTTTTGTGCCATGTGGTCCGTTTCATAATCTGGTGAAGCCTAAAGTAGTGTTTTAAAGTGTGCAAATAAAAGACTGCGAGTTACAGAAATAAAGTAATCAAAACATTAAAAAGGGAGATTTGTGATACAGTAATATATGTGTTTATACACTTTGTAACATAAAATGATAAGCAGTGAGTCTAATTACTGAGTTTTGGAGCCATGATGAGTGTGATACTTCACAGTATCTGCAACAACTCTAATGTAATAATGAGAATAGCTGTGACTTCCATGTAACAAAGTGACAGGTCTGCAATACTACATTCAGAATTTGAGGAAATGCTTAATTTCAGCTAGAGGTTCATGACATTTCAGCTAAAGGTCCCCAGGCCTCCCCACATTCTGCCCACGATCCCAGATGAAGGCTGCTTGCCGTGGAGACTGGCCGCTTTGAGAGGGAGCCCCTCCTCCCCCCATGGGCCCAGTGCCCTAAGCATGGCCTCTTGGCTTTGAGAGGAATGAGCTTGTCCACAGGCACCTGCCACACCACAGTGTTTGACCTTCTCTCTCCCTGGTGCAGGTGGGCGGACAACTTTGTGGCCGAGGGCTGCGGCAGAAGCAAGGCGCACAGCTTCCAGCATCCCTTCCTCCAGGTATCTGCCACGTCCCTCCTACCTCCCGTCTCTCAGGCCTCAGGCCAGGGGACTGCTGTTTCCTGACCTGCTATTGGTGTCCTCCCCTGCTCCCAGAAGAGCTGCCTGCTTCTCTCCTCCCCCCTCCCCCCAGAACAGAGGCCTGAAGGAGCAGTCATGCCCTGGGCACTGTGAGGCCAGCCCTCACCGCATGTAAGTCAGGACACAATCGGAAAACGTCAGCCGTTGTAGCCAAACCTGCTCTCCACCCACCGGGAGCCCAAACCCCAATGGAACAGGGAGACGCCATAAACTGGAAGTACCTTACTGCTCATCCTGGAAGTGAGAGACCCAAATTTCAGCCCAGCTCTGCCAGCAACTTGCTCTGTGAGCTTAAATAAGTTCTTGGGCCGCTCTGGGCCTCAGTTTCTCCATCTGGGACTTGACCTGGGCTTGGCTGAGATCGGTGGTTTTCAGAAAGGACTCTACACAGCCTTAGGGTTTGTGTCGAGGAATCTAAGGGACTTTGGGGTAGACCCAGGAGGCAGTCTCTGGCCTCCCGCACACGGCAACTTTGCTTTCACCTCTGTTGTATGTGTTAGGATTATAGGTAAGCTCTTGTTTGAAGAAAGACTATGTTAAAAATGCTTTGTTAGCCCTGGCAGGTGTGGCTCAGTCACTTGAGCACCAGCCTGCAAATCAAAGGGTTGCTGGTTCAATTCCCAGTGTAGGGCACTTGCCTGGGTTGCAGGCCAGGTCCCCAGTAGGGGGCGCACGAGATGCAACCACACATTGATGTTTCTCTCCCTCTCTTTCTCCCTCCCTTCCCCTTTCTAAAAATAAATAAATCTTTTTAAAAAAATGTTTTGTTAAAGATGATCCTCCGTTCAGCTCTGAATTTGGGTTCTGTCCCTGCAGGCCGTGGGCATGTTCCTGGGGGAGTTCTCCTGCCTGGCTGCCTTCTACCTCCTCCGGTGCAGAGCTGCAAGGCACCCAGATACTAGCATGGATCTCCAGCAGCCCTTCAACCCCTTACTTTTCCTGCCCCCAGCCCTTTGCGACATGACCGGGACCAGCATCATGTACGTGGGTGAGTAGCCAGGCCAGGCGGAGCCGGGCTCAGTGAAGCCCATGACCCAAGGGGGCCATTGACGAAACAGTCACCCTCACCCTCAGCTCATCTTCACCTCGCCTGTCTCCCACAGACGTGCACAGGTCATGGTCACCCAAGATTTACTGAGCGCAGACTCTGTGAGAGGCGTGTCTCCAGCCCTGAGGACACCTCAGTGAATGGCCAGCCTTGGCCCTCAGGAGCTAATGTCGGGTGTCTGTCCTCTCCTAGCCCTGAACATGACCAGCGCCTCCAGTTTCCAGATGCTGCGTGGAGCCGTGATCATATTCACAGGCCTGTTCTCGGTGGCCTTCCTGGGGCGGAGGCTGGTGCTGAGCCAGTGGCTGGGCATCCTCACGACCATCGCGGGGCTGGTGGTAGTGGGCCTGGCCGACCTCCTGAGCAAGCATGACGATCAGCACAAGCTCAGCGAAGTGATCACAGGTGTGGCCGGGGTCGGGGATCCCGGGGCTGCCCTTCCTGTCCTGCCCTTTCCCCGCCAGGAGCCCAGCGCAGAGTCATTCAACAAACTTCTACAAGCTCTGCTGTATGCCATGCCCTGGGTAAGGGCATAGGGAAACCGGCTGCTGTGGGCATGCACCTGCTCTCGAGTGGACAGAGTGTAGGGAAGGCCAGAGGTCCAAGCAGCAGGAGAAACGGCCAGATGAGGAGCCAGAGGTCAGAGGCGGGAGGGCTCGTGCAGTGACGTACCAAAGCACTGGATTTGGGAGAAGAGAGAAGTGAACGTTTACGGGGCAGTTACTAAGTGGCCCACTTGGTGCTAAGCACTGTGTCTGTCATCACAGTGATCCCCACAACCCCAGACAGAAAGCAGAGCAGCCCATTTTATAATGAAGCGACCTCCCTGGTCACTCAGAGACAGATTAAACCAGAAATGTCTGTGTGCAAGCCGGTGCTTCTCAAGACCTGCCTACCCCATTGCGCAGGCGTCTGGACCCTCTGGGGCCTCAGCCCAGAGCGCGCCGCCTCCCCTGTCAGCCGGCCGCACCCGTCGGGCCAGGAGGTCAGGCATGGGGGCCGTCCTGACGGTACCTCGTGAACTATGTGGTGGCTGCAAAAGTCAGGGGCTGTTGTTATGTCCCCATGGGAGCTGTCTCCCCTCAGCTTGGGGCCCGCCACCCTGTCAAGAGCCTCGGGACCTTGCTGTGCCCCTGCCTCCCTCACCCTGGGCCCTATTGATCCTTTCCCGCAGGGGACCTGTTGATCATCATGGCCCAGGTCATCGTCGCCATCCAGATGGTGCTAGAGGAGAAGTTCGTCTACAAGCACAACGTGCACCCTCTGCGGGCCGTTGGCACTGAGGGTGTGTGAGCACAGGGGCTGGGGGGAGGGCTCTGGGGGGGGAGCTCACTGGAGGGTAGCATGTGGAGCGAACGCACACACAGAACGCGGGTCCAGGTGCGGCGACCGCTGGGAGGTGTGAGCGTCCTGCCCCATTTGTTCCTCCCTTCACCACGTATGTGTTGACAGATACTCTGACACCTGTCATGCACGCGGCCAGGAGCTCAGAGAGGACAAGGCCAAAGATGAATTAGTTGTAAGCCCCACCCCAGAGCTGACCAGCAAGAAAGGACCAAGCAGTGCGTTCAAGCTCAGACCACTTGTGTGCAAGTGATGTTTCGCTTGCCAGGCATATCTGAGTGTCTTGGGTCAGGGAAGGTGGCATTTGAGCTGCAGTTTCCACAGGCAGAGTGGGAAGGAGGGAGCTCTGAACAGAGTGGAGACATGAGGAGCTGGACTCGAGTTTGGGAACTAGCAAGGAACTATTTGGGTGAGATGCAGGTTTGATGCCGGGGAAGGGATCAGTCAGGATCATATCGTGGAGAACCTTGAACATCAGGCAAGTAGATTTAGACTTTAAGTGACAGGCAGGGAAGTAACTATTAAAATTGTATGCTTTAAAAATAAGAAACTAGCAGGGAGGATTAGAGCAGTGCTGCCAAGTGTGGCCTGCGGGCTGGTCAAGGAGCTGTTTGTGCCTGGTCCACAGCAGGCTGAGGGCTGTGGCCGGATGTTAGTCCACTAACTCCGTGACGCCTTCAATCATACTGTTCATTTCTGCTCATTTCTTTTTCTAGCATGACTTTCTGAATGAAGCAATGCGTTGATTTACATTCTGGTTCAGCTCCATATCACAGACCAGTGAATGAGAGAGCTGGTTTTCCACACTTGTGAGCACCGTTGTGGCTATAGCCAGCAACTCTTTTTTAAATGAATAGACTAGAATTTAAGAGTATGAGAGAGCATTGTACACTGGGGATAGCTCTCGTTTTGTGAAAGCGTGCATGGGCCTGTGCATGTGAATGCTGGTCACAGTGTAAATATATTCCTCACTTCTGGTCCACTCAGAAAACGTGGATTAACATGGAGAAGGGGCAGCTAGAGGCTGTCGAGTAGGCCATTGTGAAATCCTGATGAGAGGGGATGGCTCCAGGACCTGAAAAGACGGTGCTAATGGGAGGCCACTGGGAAGGAGGGGCAGGGGATCAGGGGAGGCCCTGCGGCCCCGCGAGGAGCGTGACACGCGTCCTTCTCTCCTGCAGGCCTCTTTGGCTTCGTGATCCTGTCCCTGCTGCTGGTACCCATGTACTACATCCCTGCCGGTTCCTTTAGTGGAAACCCTCGTGGGACCCTGGAGGATGCTCTGGACGCCTTCTGCCAGGTGGGCCGGCAGCCGCTCATCGCCCTGGCGCTGCTGGGCAACATCAGCAGCATTGCTTTCTTCAACTTTGCGGGCATCAGCGTCACCAAGGAGCTGAGTGCCACCACACGCATGGTGCTGGACAGCCTGCGGACCGTCGTCATCTGGGCCCTAAGCCTGGCCCTGGGCTGGGAGGCCTTCCACCTGCTGCAGATCCTCGGCTTCGTCATCCTCCTGGTGGGCACTGCCCTCTACAACGGGCTGCACCGCCCGCTGCTGAGCCGCCTGTCCCGAGGCCAGCCCGCGGCCGGGGAGGGCGAGCGAGAGAGGCTGCTGGACGCCTCTCGGACTCCCATCAACGATGCCAGCTGAGCCTCCTGCGGGCCCGCTGCCACCTGGATGCACCTTGTTTGCCCTGAGGCTGAGGCCACACAGGCTGGTGAGCCTCAAGTTGCTTGTCCCCAAGGCCTCGCCCTGCCCCTCCCCACACACCCCCGGGACAGCCGCTACCACAGAGGATGAGGGGCACCCAGGTCCTCCTCTGTCACCACCTCCTGCAAAAAGGTGTTGCCCAGCTGCACAGGCTTGAGTGCAGTGACTGACCACGCCAAGCTCCCCACAACCCGCCAGACCCCTGTGGCGGCACTAGAGCAAAATCATGAAGTGGAGTTGCAGGAACTAATAGCCCTGGAATTTTCTAAATCAACCAAAATTGATTCTCCAAAAAAAAAGAGGTCAATGAGCAAATTCAAAGCAGAGCTAAGTACCGTATTTTTTTAAAAACCTCTAAGATATCCCCTAACCCTGCCTGGAGCCCTAGGCTTTGCTCACGCAGCGTGTGCTCCCCAGCCCATAACCTCGTCGCTCCGGGCCCTGGTGTCCTGCTCTAAAAGCATAGCGTCAACGCTGTGGCTTTAGCACCTTCCATCCCCAGCTGGGCCCATTCTGTGGGCCTGGGATTCTGACCAACCCGGGAAGGAAGTAACAGCTTATTTACTGGCGGTTCGCCTGTGCCGGCAGTGCCACCTCCCCAGGCTTGTTCTGATGTCCAGTGTCCTTGCTCACGCACCCGCAGGGCCTCCCTTCCTGGAGGAGATTCCAGGGGAATCCCCGCAGCCCTTGATAACAGCTTTTATGAAATCTGCACCTTCCATTTTCAAGGTGAGGAAACTGAAATCCAAAATTATAAGTTGTTTGGCAAGAAGGGTGTCCTGCCGTGGGCTCTGGCCATGTAGCCACATGACCCTGTTGCAGGCTGGGATCTGGAGCACACCTGGTTCTCAGCCCCACCCCCAGCAACCTGATCCTATAGAGCGCCCTCCAGGGTGATGGACTGGCCAGGATCCTACCATTCAGAGTAATTCTGCCATTCCGGGCATTATATGAAGTGCTCAACTTTCGTTCTGTTGTAACAACCTGCACAGGTGGGTACAGATGAGGAATCTGTGGCCCAGAGAAGGTTAAGTGACTTCCTTGTGGAGCAGGCGTTCAAGAAGGGTTTGCCTGATTCCCAGCCTGTAGCCCCACCTTACTGTACTGGTCTCACTCTGGATCTTTGAGGGATTTCCTGTGGCTGGGAAAGAAACATCATGAGCTGGTGTCCTCCCAGTAACTCCCCTCCCCGCCCTGCCACCCCCCAACCCCCCGCAAGAGAGGGCCCTGGCATCAGGGACTCCAGGGAGCTGCGAGGCCCTCCGTTCCAGCGTTCTTCCTGATGTGGCCGTTTCTGGGGCCTCGGGCCATTTTCTTGCGCAGCTTGATCATAAAACAACAAATGCCTTCCTTAAAATAGGTTCTGGGGGAAGGGATCTTTGATAAGCAAAACCCTCAGCCTGTGTGGGAATCCAGCAGGTTATTAAGGTGTGTTGGGAGAAGAGGGTCTTTTCATCCCACCAGCTCTGAGTCCCAGGGGCCCCCTGAGCGTCTTGGGCCACGGGGTGTGTCACAGGAAGAAGGAAGTGGAGGGAGTGAGGGTGGTGGGGGCTACAGCTGCCTCGTCCAAAAAATTGCCGTAAGGTGTTATTTTTAGGCTTTAAGTTAATTGGCAGGGCGGACTTTTTTTATTTTAATGAGGGAAGGAGTACCAGGGTTGGACAGTCCTGGGCGTCGTGTCTAGAATGTTGCTGGAAAAGTGCTAATGTACCAAAGCATAGAAAACACCCAGCTCATCCTACACTGTTCGGATGAAGAAACCAGCGCCCAGGGAGGGTAGAGAACTTCCCAAGGTCACAGCCAGAGGTGGCCAGGCCAGACCGCAACGCCGGGTTCTGCCCACCCCTTTCTGCCCCAGGGATGTAGCCCGGAACCTGTGCACGCCACTTGGGGGTGTTAGGGGAGCACTTGGCCTTTATTTGAGCCCTGCCATGGGGGACCGTGGATTTTAACGTTGAGGGGGGTGTAATTTATAATGGGACTTGCATGGCAGAGCACAGGGGGCGGTCGGGCACCCCATCAGGCCTGCCACCTGCTCAAGCAAATCACTTTACCCCCTGGAGCCTCAGGTCTTCACATCTCCGAAATGGAGAAGCCAGCCTCCATCTGGCAGGGCGAGCATGAAAATGACATAAGATTAATAAATTGCAGGGGCCTGGAAAGGCCAACGCACAGTGGAGTGTCGAGTAAGCCTGTACTGTCCACCGGGGGGTCTGTCATGGGCACTGATATCCCCACTGAGCACATGGGAGCATCAGCTTTGCTCAGAGGAGAAGACGTTTCATTATACACGCCATCGTGGAGTAGAATACAAAATGCATAGATTATAGGATAAAACAGAAGACAGTTTATGCTAACAGTACGGACTTTTCCCTCCCCTGGGGGTGCCAACCTTTTGTCAGGGGTGCTTTGGAGAGTTGAGTTTGAGAAGCTTTGCTGTGTCTTGCTGGTCACGTGGGCAGGAGGGTAAGGACCCCCACTCCTGCTGAGTCTGGAGGGTGGTAGGGGCCGCCTGTGACTGCGGCCCTACCGCCCTGAATACAGGAAGGAGAGCCAGAATGTCGGCAGTGTGGCACGGAGGCCCTGATCCCCGGAATCAGAGTTGCCTGACAGACTTCTGTAAACATTGGTTCAAACACCATGTAATTTAAAGCCTCTGTATTGTAGCGAACTGATCAGGCCCTGGCCCTTGGAGTGGGGCGGGGCTTCCTGCAGGACTGCCCAGCAAGTCCGCGGATGCCATCGGGCTCCTCTCACCAGGAATCTGCCTGCAAGGCAGAAACTTGGGACCCTGCCGAGTTCTGTTGCCTTCACTTTGTCCAAAGGTCTCTGTGTAGTTTAAGCAAACGACAGTCCTAGCGCTCAGAGCTCTGACCTTAGAAGAGGATTGGAGCAAAGGGTCACCTGGTTTAGGGGGAAGAAGCAGAATCTGGAGTCAGCTGTGTCCTCAGCCCCGCCTCAACCAGGTGACCCTTGGACAAGTCACAGTTACCTCTCAAGATCTTGGCTACCTATAAAAAGGCGACGTTCCCAGTGCTCCTAAATGTGTTCATCTCCCACCCACGCTTGGAGATCAGCATCATCCTTTCGTGTTTCCTGTGGCTTAGAGACCCTCTGGCCTGTTGTCAACGACAGCCTTTCAAAACCCAAAGTCAGCGGGGAGTTCCCTCTGTAGCCATGAAAGTTTGTGAATCAGCTTTCTTTATTGAGAATTCTTGTCCAAAAAAAATTTTAATGAGGAATTCCTGTCCCAGAACTCAACAAACTTTTTTGAGAACTGATGTGCACTTTGAGGTGGATCCATCAAAGAAAACAGGAGAGACGAATGTGTAAAGCAAGAATTTCGCCCAGCGTGCAGTGCAATAAGAGGCCTTTGTGTGGGGCACCCTGGAGGTGGTACTGGAGACATCAGCGAGCTCCGTGTGGCACTTAGAGAGAGCTCCACTTGAGCTACATGTTGAAGGGGGGGCAGGAGTCTTCTAGGCTTGGTGATGTGGGGGGAGGGAAAGATGAAGAAGTATTTCAGGAGGAAGGAACAGCTTCCTCCTGAAAAAACTGCCACAAGGTGATGTATTCAAGAACTTCAGGTAAGTAGACTGGCACACCTGGCAATAAGTGTGCCACACAGAGGAACTGGCCAGAGACAAGGCCCAAGTGGGGCAGGTGCCCAGGTAGTGCTGTGCCCTTTAGGCTTTGCTGAGGCATTAGGACTCTGCAGACTTTAGGGTGCCCAGGAGAGTTTTAGGTAAGGGAGAGACACGATCCAACTTACCTCTTTGGGAAGGTCATGTTGTTAGATGGAAACAGATTTGATTAGCGTTAGGAAGTACTAAAGGCCAATAAAGTCACCGATGATTAATTAGGGTCTGGACTATGGAAATGGTGGGGAGGATGAACAGAAGAGCCATTCAAGAAGAAGACTGCCCTTTTAGGGCCTTGGTTTTAGGATCTTCTATTGTGTAAGGCAGTGATTTTTAACTGGTGTGCCGCAAGAATTTTTGAAACGTGCAATATCTGACTAGTCAGGGGTACTGATCTCTTTTCCCTTTGATTGTCAAGTAAAAAAATGACAACAGCCAATACAATAAGAGCTGTCTGGTGTGAATGAATAAAAATTATATCTTTTTGGTCAGATCTGCAAAAAATATATGCATTGGTGTGCCACAGAATGTTAGTAATTAGTTTATATGTGCCATGAAATGAAAGAGGTTGAAAATTGCTGGTGTAAGGACATTATGCTAATTATGCTGAGTGAAATACATTCATTCAGAGAAAACCAAATACAATATGATCTCTTCTATGTAGAATCTAAAAAAAAACCTCACCCTGGCCGGGTGGCTCAGTCAGCTAGAATATCATCTCATATACCAAAAGGTTGCAGGTTGATGTCCAGTCAGGGCACATGCCTAGATTGAAGGTTCAATCCCCAGACAGGTGCATATGGGAGGCAACTGATCTATGTTTCTCTCGTACATTGATGTTTCTCTTTCTGTTCCTCTCTAAAATCAATAAACATATCCTCAGGTGAGGATTTTTTTTTTTTAAGTCCTGCCTTTTCTTCCTGCTTGAATAGAGCAAGGTAGGAGCTATATGTCTATAAAGCAGAATTAATGAGTGAAGATATGCTTTGATTAATAGGTGTTGAGGACTAGGGGAGCTGGACTTCTTGCCTCTGTGTTGACCTGGGTCACTGAAAACCAATCATATTTCCGTTATTTGATTGCACCTCAAAAAGTTCAATTAAACACTCCTTCCTTTTCTTCCCTTCTCTTTCTTTCTTTCTAGTGGTAAAATGTACTCAACATAAAACTTACTATTTTGACTATTAAGTATATTCAGTGGCATTAAATAATGTTTACATTGTTCACAACTAGCACCATCCATCTCCAAAAGGCGTTCATCTTCCCAAACTGAAACTCTCTATTAAATGCTAACTCTCCATTCCCTCTTCCCCACCCTCATAGCCCCCTCCCTGGCAATGACCATCCTACTTTCTGTCTATGAACTTGACTGTTGTAGGCACCTCATACAAGTGGAGTCATACAATATTTGTCCTTTTGTATCTGGTTTATTTTGCTTAACATAATGCTTTCAGTGTTCGTTCATGTTGTAACATGTGCCAGAATTTACTGTTTTTAAGGCTGAATAGCAGTCCATTGTATTGCATGTACCACAATTTGTTTATGTATTCATCCACTTGGACTTTTTTGGTTATTATGAATAACACTGCTATAAATATTAGTGTGCAGATACCTGTTCAAGTCCCTGATTTTAATTCTTTCGAGTATATACCCAGAAGGGGAATTGCTGGGTCATTTGCTAATTCTGTGTTTAATTTTTAGACCAATTGTGATACTGTCTTCCACTGTGTTTGCAGTGAACAGGGGTTCTGCGAAATTGCTAATTTTGTAACGGCATTTTTCCTGATTAGAGGACATGTTAACTGTAGAACATTTAGAAGATGCAAGAAAGCAAAGCCTAGAAAGTAAAATCTCCTTTATGTTCACTACCCAGTTCTACACTTGACCTGAATACGGATTATCTGCAACAGGAAGAGAAGGTGACGTTTCCCTGGGACAATCCTGTTAATTCTATTGTAATGCTGGAGAGTGTGACCCAATAATAGTGATGAGGTCTGTCGGGCCTCAACCCATCGACAGAGCCCCAATCCTGGCGCAGCCAGGATCCTAATCATCGATAACGTATATGATGTTAAACTGGTTTCTGATTCATATTCGCGGCGTGTTACCGGGAGGGTCACGGGAAGGACAAGAGGTTGTCTCATTCTCTGTAGGTCTGTCTCCTCATCTTTAAATGCCATCACTGGGTTGATGGGGCAAAACATAAAATGTTTAAACGCGTTCTACGGTCACACCTGCACCTCCAGAATTGAGCTTCCCTTTTTCCGCCAGAGGGCGCCCGAGGACACGAGTCTCACAGCGCCGCCACCAATAAGTAGAGAGCAGGAGAAATTCCCTCCTCCTTTCACTTCTCCAAGTGTCCATTGGCTGGCTCCACCGTCGATCCGCCAGGCCGCCGCCGCCTCCTCCTATTACCGCCGCCGCTGGGCTCTCGGCCTGTGCTCTCATTTGTCCCCCCGCAGCCATTGGGAGGCGCAGGATTTGGGTTTTAAAAAACGCCAGCCCTACTCGGCGGAGCGGGCCATTTCAACCCCATTTAGCGCCGTCAGCGCCCTGCCCAGCAAGTGCACGTGTCCGGGGCGCTCTTAGACCTCTCCCGGACGCCAGCCTTAATCCCCGAACCCAGAAGACGAAAAAGGAACCGCGGGGCCGAGACCCCTCCGTGTCAGCCATGGGCCCGCGCCGCCGGGGCCGCAAGCCCGAAACCCCAAGGAGACGCACGGCGAGCCCGGCACCCCCTACCCCGCGTCCGGCCCCCTCCACAGGTAACCGGCGTTGGCCCTGTCCCTCCCAGCCGGCTGCCCAGCAGCCTCTCTGTGAGCTGGACACGGCCGGGTCCGCGTGCCCATTTCACAGACGAGAAAACCAAGGCTCCCTTCCTAAGCCTGGACGAGCCTGACCTCCCGGCTCCTGGCCGCAGGCCCCCTGCATCCGCTCGCGGCAGGTTCCAAGTCCCAAAGCTGGGCTGAGGACTGGGAAAGGTAATTCCGAGGAGAAAGGTCTGGCCCAGACCACCTGGCTCCTAATGCCAGTTCTTGATACTACTCGCCTTTATTGAGTGTTTACCCCGTACTAGGCATTGTACTCAACTCTACGTGAGTTATCTCAACTTTATATTATGACCATTTTACAGATGAGAACTCTGAGGCACTGACAGGCCAGGTAACTTGAAGAAGGTCGCACAGCCTGGTCTGGCGGACACAGGCTTTCTCCACGTCTGTGTTTGTGCTTTTTTTAAAAATGCAGAATTATTGGCTGCTTTTTGTGATTATTTCAAAACACCATTCTACTGTTAGCCGGTGCCCTTCTAGGTTCGATTGGTTTGTTCTTCCTTCCAGAAGGGCCTGCGTTGAGCCTTGGCCTGTGCTTGTAACTCAAGCAGAGAGCTCTCACCTTGTCCCCTTTGGGAGGTGCGTGCCCAGAAAGAAGACCGGCCTGCAGGCCTCAGCATCTGTGCTGTGGTCCCGTGGGTGCGAGGCCACATTGTGTTGACTGTTTTATTCGTCTCCTGTTACACAGCTAAGAGCAGGGTAGAAAAAGGTATATTATAGATTGTTTATAGATGTTGCCATTGTGAATGAGATTTTTTTTTTTTTTTTTTTTTGCTAAATACAAATAACGTTCACATCCAGCCAACTTGCTGAATTCCCTTGTTAATCCTAATAGTCTTTTAGTTGCTTAATTGAAATTGTTAGGTAGGCTATTATATTGTCCGCAGGTAGTGACTTTTGAATCTTTTTCATTTGTCTACATTTTATTTCTTATTGTATTGTATTAGGGAAACCCTGAGACTCGAATTGAAATAAGAGCAGTATTTTGCCCACCTTTGTCTCGTTTGCAATCCTAACAGGAATATCGTTAAGTATGATGTTTGCTGTTGCTTTCCTAGGCAGAAGCATCTCTCTGCTCCTGGTTAAATTAAGTGTGTTATCTCAGATGGACACTGAACACTTCCAGGCAGTCTCACTGCGCCGGTCCGGCAGTCTTGCTTTTCCCTTCTGCAGTGACTAGTCCATGGCTCTTTCTTCCTCTTTGAATTCCTACAACCGCAAACCCCCATCCCGCTCTCAGGTGATGATGACCTTGCCTCCTGCTTCGCTGAGGAAATAGAAGCCTCCAGACTGGATTCCCCTTATCTTCTCACACAGAGAACCAAGGTGTCCTCCTACCTGTCGAAAGCCACTCCTCTTCCTACTGGGCTCTTGGTCATATACTTCTCCTGCCTTCCCAGGAGCTTTCCGTTGTCCTCTTCAGCTGCACTTGGAATTAAATTCAGACTCCTCACACTGGCATTCTGCAAACGTGCTCTGCTATTTCTGATCTAAAGATAAAGAGAAGGGCGTGGGTCCTTGACCCCACAGCCCAGCCTCCCTCATACTCTCCACTTCTCTCTCGTGCCCTTCCTAGCGGCCCTGTTTAACATAGCCAGACTTACGTCAGCACACGCGTGTCTGTTGCCTGTCTTCTCAGTCATCCTGCAACTCATTTCAGTCTGGCTACCCGTACCTCTAGTGCACTCCAACTCCTCTTGTCAAGGTCCCCAGCTACTTTTGTGTTACCAAACCCAACAGACGTGTGTGTTCTTTTCTTGCTTTGGTTCTCAAGCATTTGTCACAGGGGCCCACTTTCTCCTTGAAACACCCCGTCCCCTCGGCTTCCATGACACCGCATACTCTCTGCGGTTCCTGCTTATCATTTCTCAGTGCCTGGCCACCTCTCTTCAGTAGCTTCATGTTGGGCTTCCTTGCCTTCTTTCCCTTTCTTTCCCTTCCCCAGGTAGCCTCATCCCTTCCCATGACCCTAATACCACTCGTACATCGACAGCTCTCACATTCCTACTTCTGGCCCCGATATTCCCTCTGAGCCCAGATACCTATAGCCAACTGCCTGTCTTCCCAAGGGCTCTTGGGTACATCAAACTAAACATACTGAAAACTGAACTTTTGATTACTCCCCGCTACCTCTTCATCCCCACTTTTCCCCATTTAAGTAAATGGCACAACCACACACCCAGGTGTTCAAGCCAGAAACGTGGGAGAAATCCTTTTCTGTCACCCCCATGTCCAATCCAAGTGTAAGTTCAGGTAAATCTACCTCCATATTATATCCTTAGTCACTCCACTTTTTGCTCCCAGCCTAGTCCAAGCCACCAGCATTCTACCTCAGCCGCTGTTCCCCTTCCATGCATGTCCCTTTCCTTAAACAACAGTTGGAATGAACTTCACAATGTAAGCACGTCACCGCTTTGTCCTGCTTCAAACTCTTCCATGGCTTCCCATTACTTTAGGATTAAATCCCAGCTCCTGTTGGCGTTGAAGACTCAATTACTAAATGTTTAACCCCAGTCCTTTACCACGCACACTCTCAACGGCTGCTTTTCATAACCGTTCATTCTTCGGTCATGGTTTCATATCTTCCCTTTCCCCTCCGAGGTTATGATGTGTGTTTCTCTCAAAGTCTTCATCACTTTTCTCTGTGGACTCAGATTCCTCCGGTTTGTTGAGTTTCATTCCCTCTTTCCTGCTGTTGGCCTTCTTGAATTGTTTGGTGACCTTTCATCGTGTTCTGTGACTGCTGTCTGCATATCAGGGGCGCCTCCCTTGCCTGGGTTGCTGGCTGGTGGTGAGGACGGAGGCAGGTGCCAGCAGCTGGCCTCCTGGTTTTGTGCCCCCCTCTTTCCCCTAAATGTCAACAGTCTCCTAGACCCTGCCCTGCTTTCTTGGCCCACATTCCCTGGTGCAGGGAGAAAGTCCCCACTGCCATCTGTTTGGAACAGGGCATTTCTGGATTGCCTCACCTACCCCATTTGCTCTTGCAGCTCTTCTAACCCTTTGCAATGAGTTCACTGTGTTAAATCCCTTTGGTGGACCCCTGGCTGTTGTGGCTCAGTGGACTGAGTGCCAGCCTGCGAACAAAAAGGTTGCCTGTTCAATTCCCAGTCAGGGCACTTCCCTGGGTTGTAGGCCAGGTCCTGAGGAGGAGACTTGGGAGAGGCAACCAGACATTGGTGTTTCTCTCCCTCTCTAAAAATGAGTAAGTAAAACCTTTTTTTGATTTTACATCCCTTCTATCAAACTACTTGGTATGGATTTTCCTTTCTTGGCTGCACCTTGAGTAGCATTTCTGAAGGTGATTTTACCCTTCAAAATGTTTTTGTGGTTTTTCGTTTTTATTCTTCATTCAACTTATCAGAGGTTCATTTCTTTTTATTGGTCCTTGATTTAATTTGTGGAGCAGGTATACTGTTTTTGTTTGTTTGTTTTACTCTTCTTTCATTAATTCATTTTATTGAATATTTCTTTGGCTCTAGCTTTTTTTGGCTTATTTAAAAAAAAAATTTTTTTTCTAATCCTCACCCGAGGATATGTTTATTGATTTGAGGGGGGGGGGGGGGGGGAGAGAGAGAGAGAGAGAGAGAGAGAGAGAGAGAATATGACATGAGAGAGATACATTGACCGGTTGCCTCCTGTATTCACCCTGACCTGGGATCAAACCCGCAACCTAGGTATGTGTACCAGCTGGGAATCGAACCCTCAGCCTTTTTGTGTGGAGGACAATGCTCCAACCAACTGAGTCCCCTGGCCAGGGCTCTTTTTCATTTTTATTTTTTAAGATTTTATTTATTTATTTTTAGAGCGAGAGGAAGGGAGGGAGGATGAGAGGGAGAGAAACGTTGATGTTGCCTCTCGAGCGCACCCCTGACCACCAGGGACCAAACCGGCACTTTAGGCGCGTGCCCTGACTGGAATCACACGAGCAGCCTTTCTCTTTGCAGAATGACGCCCAGCCAGCCGAACCCCGCTGGTCAGGGCCCTTTTGGCTTATTTTAATAATTTTCTTCCTGATACTCGAGTTGTCCGCTTGGGTCAGGTATCTTTTAATGTTCTCGTTTTCTAACAGATCTTGAGGCTACCCGTTTTTCTCCTAGTACTATTTGGCTCTATCTCATAAGTTTTGAGATGTAAATTTTATGTTTAGTCATTTCTAAATAGGCTCATTTCAGTTAAGTTTCCTCTTTAACACAGGAGTTAGAAAAATATTTATTTTTTTATTCCTGTTTTTTTAATTTCCGGTCAGAGAGTTCGGCTTTTTTGATTTCTACTTGTGGGAATGTTTTTAAGATTTCTTTCTTTTTATTGGAACTAAACATTGAGCCCAAGGGCTCGACGCTGGTACTGAGTTATGCCACCTCTGAGGGTCCCACCTTGGCCACTAATGAGCTCTGGCCAAATGTCTGCATCTGGGCCTAAGCGTAACCAGCACAAGGCAATTGTATCAGATACTTTCTGAGATTTCAGCTCCAAAAAAACCTAAAAACAAAATAACTGTCTTTCTAATCGAGGTGGGAAAGATAGAAGAGACGTACAAAGTATTGTGGGGCCCAGCGGAGGGAGGTGACCCATCAGTTTGGAAGGGATTGGGAGTCAGGAAAGGCATGTAAAATAATATCCTCAAACCCTTGAAGGATCATTACTGAGGGTCAGTAAGACCCTCAAAAGGTCATCCTCTCATTTAACAAATATTTATTTAGTACCTCTGTGCTGTTTTTCAGTTGCTGAAGATAACTAATGAAAAAAATAGACAAAAGTCCCTGGTGTTGTGGATCATATTATGGGACAGCCAAGCAGGGCACCTCCCCCCAACCCCCACTTTTTCTTAAGATTTTATTTTTAGAGAGGGGGTAGGGAAGAAGAAAGAGAGGGAAACATCAATGTGTGGTTGCCTTTTACCTGCCCCCTACTGGGGACCTGGCCCACAACCCAGGCTTGGGCCCTGACTGGGAATCAAACTGACGACCCTTTAGTTCGCAGGTCGGCACTCAGACCACTGAGCCACACCAGCCAGGGCTTGGCACCCCCTTTTTCCTCTGTACCTCACCTGTATGACCCAACTCTTTTGCTCAGGCACTCCCTTCCGTCGAGCTCGTCACCGGAGACATCTGATTCTGAGGGAGATCAAAAATCTTCAGAAGAGCACAAACCTTTTGTTAAGGAAGACCCCCTTCTGCCGCCTGGTGAGCTCCAGGGGGCTTCCCGCCCACCCCTATGCTGCCTCCTTTCTTTAAATATCCCAGGTGTTGGGGACCCTATCAGCTCTTGTCCAAAAGACCAAGGGACCTCTTCTCGAACTTAGTAAGGGACTCTTTATCTTTTAAAAACCTGCCAAGGGTACCCTCCACATTTTTATGGAATTAATTTCCAGCCCCCACCGCCTCTGAAACAGTGTTCCTCGATTCCATAAATAGAAACCCTCTCACCCATCACCCTTTCATCCCTGCCCTCCCCCAGGAGGCCCCCTCCTCTCTCCACGGAGACTCACAGGAGAGTCTTCTTCCCTGCAGTCGCTCTTCCTTGCCTCCCTGCTCCTCCCCACACCCCTTCTCCTTTGCCTCCCATCTCCACTCCTTCACAGGCAAGAGAAATATGTGTTAAATTCACTCGTGGTGTAGACTTCAATTGGCAAGCTCACGCCCTGTTGGCCCTACAAGAGGTAAGGGGGCCACGGTACAGTTGGGGGAGGGGTGAGCATGGGAGAAGGATGTTCTGGACCTCCACAGGGCTGGCTGTGGAGTGAGTGTCGCGCGTCCTTGAAAAGAGCCACAAGAACGCCCAGGGATGGAGGCTGGGTCCCGTCTGGCGGCAGCAGAATCCCCAGGCAGTTCAGTCTCATTCTGGGAACGGTCTTTCCTTTGGTCCTCTGAGCCCCCGGAGACTACGTTCAGCAGGTGCCCACGGACAAAGTGGCCACGCCCCCTCGCCTAGGTCAGTCTACTTCTGTTTCTGTCCCCAGGCGGCAGAAGCGTTTCTTGTCCATCTCTTTGAGGACGCCTATCTCCTCTCGCTCCACGCTGGCCGCGTTACTCTCTTCCCGAAGGATGTGCAGCTGGCCAGGCGGATCCGCGGCATCGAGGAGGGGCTCGGCTGAGCCATGCCTGCCCCTGGTGCCTGTCCTGCTCATCAGAGGTGGGGCAGGGGAGCGTCTGGCTTCTCATCAGTGGGGAGGGGGACAGTTTCTCTGAAGGAATGTCTCTTCTCCATCCTTTGTCCCTTGCCATCCACCTTCCCTTTGTTCTCGAGAAAAAGTTGGACCTGGTTTCACCCTGAATATTTGGGACTCTATGGCTCCCACCCTAAAGTGACGAAACAACCCGAATTTCCATCAGAGTTAAGCCTCTTTGTTTTACGAGGACCAGATGATCTCATTTTGATTAAGACAAGGTTTTCTTACTTTTGAAAATGCCTTGTTACTAAATGTGATTCCTTAATTTCAGGGGAGATACCAGGGACTCTTGGCATGAAGTCGGAGGTGCTGCCTGGACTTGCTGTTTCTGGATAGAGCGGGCCTGTTGCTTTTGTAACTGGTTCTTTTAAAAAGGAACAGGCTGCATGTCTTTCCCCGGCAAGTGGAAATTTATAAGAAAATCAACATGGTTCCAGAAGCCTGAGGATTATTTTCAGATAAAGATACTCCGAGGTTGACTTCAGTTTGTACATTATCCATATGACTGCTTAGTGACTTTGGAGACATCAGATTTGCTGATACTTGCTTATTATTTTACATCTTTGTATACAATTTAAATTTTTATCATCTGTACATTTACTTCTATTTAACACATAAAGGAAAAATATTAGAGAAGGACACTTCGGGCAGTTGCAAGGAAGAGCCTGGCACCTCTCCCGTGCAAATCCCTGTCCTGCACATTAGCTTTGTTAGAGGCGGCAGCAAGTGCCCATGTGGCCTGTGCCCGCCCACGAATTACAGCTTTTCAAAAACTCATTTGGGGTGAAAACTGAAAATCTTTGAAGATTTGATGTTCTAGTTCTTCTTAGTAAATTTCTATCAAAATCATTCAGAAATTCTAACTTATAGAATTTTATTATTTGTAAATCACAGAAGATGCAGCATAGTTTATACTTCAGAATTTTTGATTCCAGGATTTTAAAGTGCCTTTTTAAGATATTGACAGATATTTTTATAACTTCTTTGTGGAGAGGTAATAAAAGTAAAAATAACTCTTTAATGAAAAGTTTAAAGCAAAGTTACTGTTACAGCATACATGTATGTTTTGTGTTAACATTTTAAGTTCATTGTTTGTACGCTGTTTGCAAAGAGCTAAAATTTACACAAGAGAATCGAGGGATGTGTTTTTGTCTCCAGCGGAGTAGCATACAAGTGATGACGACCTTGCTCTTTCGTAACCAAAAGCACTTTAAGAGATTTCCAGACAAATGGGAAATGCAACCCAAAGATTTTTAGATTTTGTGTCTGGTAAAAATGATTAGTGAGGGCAGAGTAGTGAACTGAACTCAGAGACAAATTAAAGAGATGGACCAAGTTCTACTGTTTAATACAAATTAACCTTTGGAAAAACCTTGTTGTTTGACCTCAACTCCCATTTATGCAACCATTCAAATAAAGCTTAGCTATCTGTGAATACATTTAAAGTTCTTGTCAGAGTGTTATTAATTAGAAGATTATTATCTCTCTCTAACTTTTTCCTCAAATTGTACTAACTGGGACACCGCTACAACCAACACGTTGTCCACATGTCACTTTCAGATGCCAGACAGGAGGTGTGTACAGTGACATGAGAAAAGTAATTTACATCATGACAGTTCATACAATATCATTATAATTCACTGTAAATTTTAGGCACTTACATTTTTGGAGTTTTGTTTTTGCTTACCTTTACTTTCTGGGTAACTCCATCCACATTATCTTCTAAACTTTCCATTCAATTTTTTATTACTGCTTTCACATTTTTAATATCTAAGAACTCTTTCTCTTTCTCTCACTTTTTTTTTTTTTAACTTTTATAGCATCCCAGTCAGTCAATGTTTACTCAAAAAACAAACCAGTCTAGATAGTTCAAACAGAGGACTTTAATGGAAGGGGTTTCGTTACAGTGACGGCGCAGACGGCTGGAAGAGCAGAGGGAAGAGAGGCTGCTACTCAAAGATCAGGAAGCAGCCGACGCCCGGCTCACTGCGGTTCTGGAAGTGCGGCCCCTGCCAGCGCTGGGTTAGAACTGCTCTGTTGCTCCTGAGCAGATCCTCAGGAGAGGAGCCCGCACCCGACCATCACTGACACCCAGGAAGCCCTTCCATCCACGGCTGCATGTGCGGCCAAAGGCACTTCGAAACCATAAAAGAAAAATATCTCCTTTCTCCCTTCATTTCCCAGGCCCACCAGCATTTTCCATTGGCAGGCCGCGGGCCCAGGAGGAAACCTGAAGGAAAATCCATCTACATCATTACACTGACAACATCTGAGCAGGCACTTGAATTCGGTAACAATTGTTAAAAAAAAAAAAAAAAAAAAAAAAAAAAAAGGACACATGGGCAAACAACCTTCTGCGTTCCCGGGGCTGTCCCACGGGCGGACCCTCACCTATGCCTATCCCTCCTGACAGCCCTGTGACGCGTCGGTGTTAGGACTCTCACCTTCCGCACAAGGTAACAGAATAAAAGTAGAGAGAAGCCTGGGTCCTTCTTCCGTGTCACAGCCCCAGGTGTGAATCCTGACTCCGACCGTAGCTCAGTGACCAGGACAAGTCGCTCATTCCCTCCAAGCCCCAGCTCCAGAGTCCCTTGCAGAGCCTGGGTCTGGCAGACGGGATGGGAGAAGCTCCTCACTGAGGAATCACGAGGATCAAACTTGGCGACACTGGGCAAGTGCCTGGCACCCAATAAACAGCAGCCGCCATTTTGGTTAAGGTTTCATGGCAATGCCCTCAGGGAGACTGGGTAGCCACGTGCAGAGGCAGGGCTTGACCAGAGTGCAGACCCAGGTCACGGGAACAGACATCCGGGTACCGGGCAAGGAACAGAGCCATGTAAACAGGGTGCTGGCCTTCAAGTGGCCTTCACAAGGAGACCCAGGGCCTCTCTCAGGATGGTGACGTGAGGGTGGCTCCGTGGGGAGCAGCCTTGGGGGTGAGCACTTGGTGGGGCTTGGGGAAGGTTGTCACCAGCTTTGAACAAAATTGGTCACCCTCAGTTGCAAAGCACAGGGACTAACGTACCATGACATCTTGAATTTATTCAGTGCTTTTCTGCTAAGAAGATCAAAGTGCTTCCAAATAATTCCTAAAGTTTTCTGAGAAAGAAGCCCGTGGTGGGGAAGCCCATTCCACCTAGGAACTATGCTTAGTATCAGTCATCATCTTTGACATTTGATAATTCATTATGAGAACTTGGCTTTTGCACATGGCCCCCGTGCCCCCCGCCCCCGGGAAGCAGACAGACAGGTGGGATTGGCGCGGTCCTACAGGGGGCCCATGGGAGCCCAGGAGCTTTCCCAGGTGAGGACTTCCCCTTGCCCTGCTGCACACTGGCATTTCCCGCCAGAGGTCAAGGCCACACAGATTCCAAGCTGGGCCAGGTCCCTGCAAGGCCTTTGAATCAAGCAGCTCATGACAATGCCACCCACGCCCCTGCCCGAACACATGGGGACAATGGAAGCAGCCCCGAGCAGCGCTGAGCAGGGCCCGGGCAGTCCTGGCTGCCCGCTCTGGGACTCCAGCAAGCCTCAGGCTGGGCCGTATCCTCTGTGCGTTGCCATGTCTGCTCTTGTCTCCTCCCCAGGATGCCCCCAAATTCCTCCTGTGTTCCCAAACTCTTCCCCTCTCTCTTTCCCCAGAACTCACCTTCTTCGATCCTTCTACATGTCTATGGATGCCCCCTTTGCATTCAGTTTCTTGCTCATCATGGGACATTCTTCCTCTTCTACATGCAAACATGGCCTTGCCCTCAAGGCTGGGAGAATCCCCCCCCCCCCCGCCGACCCAGCTGCCCCTCCTCTTAGCCACCCCCATCCCCACTGTCCCCAGCAAGCTTCCCCTGGGTCATCCACAGTGGTTGTTGCTGGGCCTACAAGCAGACTTTTACCTTCACCCATTACTGCAGCTGCTCACCAAGCATCCTTGTCAGTCACCCAAGTTATAATAAATACCGTACATTGAGGGTCCAATGCTGCAGGCATTGTACCATCTACCCTGACCATGGCCTTGAGAGATGGGTACTGTTAGCCTAGGTTTTTGATGAGGCAACTGAGGCTCGCAGTTCAAGCATGTCTGGTTCAAGCTCACAACAGTCTGATTCTGAAGCCAGGGCCTCCCCTGCTCTGCCATGGCCTCTCTTGCTCGGGATTTTCCAGACTCTTTTTGAGCTCCCACCCTGTGTGGCACTGACTTGAATATAGAGGTTTGACGGCTGGCTCACAGTTTTTTTTTTTAATGGCTGGGGAGGTGTCAAGCTCCTCAGGAATGTTGGAGAACACCCCTTCTCAAAGGGCACCTCGAGGAGGAACAGGTTGGAGCTGCAAAGGAAGGGCCATCTGGGTGCCATGGCTTGGCATAGCCTCTCCTTGAGAGTCACTCACGTTCCCACAGTCTGTCACCCTTCTGGAGGACTGGTGGGGAAGGGCTCTGCTTGCATTGTGCAGATGGAGTTTGGAACCCTAGTTCTGCTACTTACAGCAGTGTGACTTTCTGTACAAGTCACTGACCCTCTCTAAGTCCAATCTGTAAGAAATGGGCAATGCTACCCGCTATGTGGAGAAGTAAGGATTAAATGACATCTAAAAACACCCACTAGTCATTCCACCCTCCCCCTTTTATGCTAAGCCTTCACTTGCCTGTTATTCAGAAGCTGGTTGTTGAGGCAATGTGGCACCCCAAACACATTTAGTTGTAGAAGCCAGTGGCCCTGAACTTCATGAAGACTGGCCCCAACACCCACCAGCCTGGCTTAATATCCCTTCTCTTCCTACCACCCCCATTCATGGACTTGATTTTCAAACTATAGTGTTTCTTCAGGTGTCTTCCAAACACCCCTCAGCTTTTCCACCCACAAGCTTATACTCCTTTATCTTGGAATCTCAGACCTCTGCTTAGAACCACCCAGCAAATCAATATCCAGGCAAAATCCAAATTCAGCTCTTCCATTCCCTGATTATCTGCTCAGAACTGATTCCTCTCTTGCCTGAATTGCTATTCTGCCTTATGTAAACTGGTCATAGAAGCTTTATAATGAAAGTCACAACATATTGCCTTTTGTGGCTGTTATAACAGGAGAGTCATATCTTATCTTCTTACATCTCTCACACTGGTCAATAACCATTTGTTGTTGAATAGATGAATAATAGCTACATTTGTTGAGTGTATGCTAATATGCCACGTAGTATGCTATGCCCTTTTAACGCATTTCCCCATGTACTGATCACAGCAAGGTTAAAAGAATTATTATGATTTCCACGTTCTGTGGGGGAGCTGTAGCTCAGATGGGTTAAGTAACTCTCCAAGGTCAAGTATCCGCAAAGTAGCGCAAGGATTCCAACCCAGGGATGTGTGACACCAAGCCCTGTGTTCTTTCTATTTTCCAGGAGAAACAGCCTAGATTATAAATAAATAAAGCTAAAATAGACTACAGGGGACACTTACAACCTCGCGTTCGGGTGCAACCTTCATCAATGTCCGAGGTCGACAGATGACTTAGAGGCAGCTCTTTTTCTGTCCAGAGGAGGTTTGCCCAAGAAGGCAAATGAGCAAAAATTCAAACCAGGTCCAATCAATGGTGCAGAAAGCGTTTATTGCCACTAGAGGGCACCCTCCCCTCAGGCAAAAAAGTGCAGCATGGACGTGCTCGCGGACGCAGCTGCTGCAATGAGATGGGTCTGGGATCTACCTCGCTTCCCGGAGGTTCGATCCATTTTGCCTAAACCCGTGGATAAGTGCAGAGCTTGACTAACGCCTGGAGAAATCCGTAGAGCAGTACCTCAACTTGAAACAGTGGGGAAAGGAGGAGCCACTCCCCCAAAGTTTCACGCCCACATTCCTTGCTCGTCTGGGTTGAACCCTAGGCTCATTTGGGCGCTCCCTACATATAAACTCACAACTGGGTGAGGGTAGGGGAAAGGCAGAAAAGTAAACCTTCCTCCCAGGAGGTGTGGAAACTCCAGGGAGGTGATCCAGGAGTGCATTTCCCAAATGTCAGCCTGGCCTGATCTAGGTCCTGAGCCCACCGCAAAGGACAGCAAGGAGAATGGCCCACGACCACCTCACTTCAGCGGGCTCTGCGGGCCAGCGCCCGCGTAGATTTTGCTGAGACGGGAGGGGGCACTCTCCAGAGTAGCGAAACACCATTTTGTTTGAAAACACTCCGCAGACGGATGCGCCTTTCGGGCTGTGCCCGGGGAAGCCCGTCACCTCCACCCCTTCTCGGACCCGGAGGGGGAGGGGCTTCTGCTGAGGCACAGTGGGGTTCCCCCAGGGACCCCGGGATGGGGTTGGAAGTAAGGACACAATGCTGCATTGTAACATTATATCAATAGCAGTGCTTCTGTAGTGACATTAAGTGAAAAGAGACAAATTACTAATCCGTATCTATATTATTACAATTACATAAAATAACATGCGGTAAAGGCTTGAGAGGGGATCAGGGCGTGATGATCCTCTCTCTCTTTTTTAGATTCGTTGTTTTTGCTAAATTATGTGTACACTTAAGATGTGAATTTAAAAGGTGAAGTAATTGTAAATTGAGTTATAAAACATTTCCAGAGCCTTCACCATCCTCTGAATAAGGGGTGTCAGGACCGGCATCTGCACCTGAGAGCTTTGGATGGAGAAGCCCCAGTTCAGCGCCACAGAGAGTGAACTTGGGTTGGGACCGCAACAGGGGGAAGGTGTGAACGTAGGTGGCCAGGAGTGGCCGTCCACTTTGTAAGTGAGAACATTTCCCCGTAATGACCGCCTCTGCCCTCTCCATCCTGGAATACCTCCAAGCGTCCACTTCGAAGGCGTCGGGCTGGGTCTTGGCGGGAACCAGGAGGCTCTAGCCCGACCAGCACCGCCGGGGAGAGGCGGCCAGGCATTGTTTCAGCCCCTCGGGTGGGGTTCTGCGAGAGGAGGGGAGGCGGTCTGTCCTCGGGACCCGCCTCGTAGCTCTCCCAGGGGACCTGTGCATCAGCGCGTCCAAGAGCCAGTGCTTTGTGAACTGTCTGGAGTCACCATGGAAACCCAAAGGAATGCGGGGAAGGTCACAAGGGGAGTCGGCGGATTCCCTGGCCGCGCCCTCTGTCCCCCCTCGGACCCCGGCCCAGCAGCAGGGTCTGTCGGGAGTTGTAGTCCCAAGGTGGCGGCCTAGCGCTGCGCCGAGGATGCAGGGCGCCGCCTGTTCCCGCCTCCCCCAACCTTCTAGAGCAAGGTGGGGGACTAGGGAGGAGCCTGCGGATCGATGATTGGCCGAGGCAGCCTCCAGCCACCACCCACGTCCCTTCCCCCGCTCGCGGTTTGGGACTCCACCACCCCGCGCGCCTAGGCGGGTATTGAGCTAGCGAGCGTGCGTGCAGCTGCCGCCGCCGCCCCGAGCACCCGCAGCTCCGGTGCCGCGGCGAGACCCGGGAGAGACTGACGGACCCACGGACCCTCGCAGCCTCAGCATCCCGGAAGAGTGGGTGATGGCGGGGCGGGCGGTGGGCTTATTCTCCCCGGCCTGGGACGTCCCTCTCACGACCTCTGTTTCTCTAAGAGGCGCACAAAAGGGCGGGGATTGGTGTGCGCCTGTGGGCCCGGCAGCCGGGAACGCAATGGGAGGATGATTTGGGGTTGTGGGGGCTATCGGGGATAAACTGGGGCCCGAATCCAGTCCTCTTTGTACGCCCACAGAACGGCGTGCGGTGCCTTGTTCACAGTAGGCGTTTAATGTTTGCTCGTGGAATTGCGAAGAACTGAGATGAGTAGGCGGCACGGTTGAAAGGGTTTCACTCCTCTGACACAGTAGGCACCCAGCCTCGCTCGTCTAGGTGTTTTGAAAGGCTGGAAGGCTGGGCGGAGGCTTCCCTGGCTGCGGGCCCGTCCTGCCCGAGTCCCTAACTCGGTGCTGTCCCGGTCCCCACCCGTACGCACACCCTTCATCTATCTCGCCTTCGGGTTGGGATTTGCTGAGCTAGGACCGGACCTGACTGCTCGTTCCACCCGTCCGGCTAACGGAGCAAACGCTCGAGGACGACTCGCCGGCCGCCTCCGAGGCACCTGCCTGAACCACAAAGGCCGCCTGGCGCTGCCCGGCCCAGAGAAGGCTCTCAGCTTCGCTAGAGTTCGGCGCGGAAGTCCTGCTCGCAGCATTCAGCTTGGCGGGCGAGAGACAGTGGAGACAGTGACGCCCAGGCCTGGCTGGGGAGGGGGCAGTAGTCCGAGCTAGAGAGAAGCTGGGACGAGGAGGGACGGAGGCGAGACCACCGTTTGAGCAAAGATGGGGAGATGGGGCAGCTGGGTGGGACAGGTGCCTGGCTGTGGAAGGAGGGGGAAGTGAGACCAGGGTTTGAAGAGGAAAGAAAAGGGCGCGGAGGGCGGGTCGGGGGAGGGAGGGAGGGAAAGAGGGAGCTTGCCGCAGGTGGCGCGAGGCGAAGCTGGGGCTGACGATGAATACGGCAGCGAGGGGGATGCTGGAGGGTGGAGACAGTCTGGGTTTAAGGAAGGTAGGTGCGAGGGAGGAGGAGGCTCGAGCGGTAGCGAGACGAGAGGTCTCCAGGGAAGGGAGGGGCAGGCTGCAGGGAGGCGGGTCTCAGGCGAGGACCCTCAGCTCTAGGCTTCGGGCCTGGAGATCCAGGTGGACGTCTGGGTGTAGCTCTTGGACCAGGAGACAGACGTGAATCTGGACCGGACTGGACTGTCCCCATACGGAGCTTTGTCTCCTGGCTTGATACAAGCACGTAGGGACTCAGGGTTTTGTGATAATGCGCAGCGCCGCAGGCACACCCTTTTCTTCGCGGAGCTGAAAGGCTTGGTCCAGTGGCAGATGCTGCCGGGGCGGCGGAATGGGGCCCGTCTCCCGCCCGGGGACAGCAGAAGAACAATAGCCGGCGCTGGTCTCCGCCCGACGACGATGACGAACTAGGGCCCCCTAGACCTCGCGTGCTGTTTTCTGGTGCAGAAAATGCTCCCGGAGCAATCTCAGGGCACGTGCTCATCGTGGGGTTTGTGTTAGGCAGAGCTCCGCCGTTAATGCCCGGGTGGGAGTCGCGCGTCCCCCGGGTCTGTGGGGCCGGCAGACAGCCGCCGCTCCCGGCGTTGGTGCCTTCTGGTTGCGGCACCGCTGCCTGCCCCACGCTGCTGACCAGCCGCCCAGACGCGGCATGGCGACGCGGCGGGGACCTGGAGGTCTCCTCTGTGCGGAGCGGACTCCCTGAGCACCTGGCTTTGTCTGAGGAGGCGGCTACATCGAAAGGCTGCTCCGCGTTCATAGAGGGAGCAGTCAAGGCTGCTGGGGATTGTGGTAATATCGGGAGAAGCTGCCTTGGATTACCCGGCGGGGGTGCGGCTCTTGGTTTTAGAGCCTGCAGCCGGGGGACCAGCGCTCCTCTGCCAGTGGCCACACCCAAGCCAGTACCTCCATCCTTTGCAGATTTCGCATGTATTGTCTGCTGACCTAAGACAGGGGCGGCTCTGTGATAGGAGGTGGCTGCTTGCCCGTGGGAAAGCAGATAAACAGCAATGGAAACAACAGAAACAAGGAATCAACTGAGCTTGCGTGCACTCCTAGCCTAGCTCCCTGTCTCCGGGCCTTTCACGCTAGCCTGCAGTGTCTTGACGTGTGACATGACAGCTCCAAACCAGAATTCTGTTTCATAGGGTTTTTTGCCTTTTTTTTTTTTATCACTGTTTAGGTCATACTAAAGGACTCTTTAGCATAAGATGTGTAATTTTAAATTGTCCTTCATTAATATAAAAAGAGCAAGACAAAAGCGTTTTTATTCCTTGAGTGGAGGAAGCTTGGCTAAATGACGGCGTCATAGGACTAATTGATGTGGCTTATATTTGCCGTTAAGTTATCTGATGAGTCTTTGGCTCTCTTAACCTAGCCTTGAAACCTCAAGATTTTCTTTCTTAACCAGCTTGATACATAAGGTGAGGGGCTGTGATGGGATTCTTGGCTCTTGCCCATGGTGTATGGTAGTTGGCAGCATGAACGTCTCTTGTCTGGGTCGCACTGGGTGGCCACAGGACAGCAGCAGTAAGCTCTATCTTGCTGGTGTAAAAGGACGGCGCTTTGAGAAGGTGGCTCTCAGAATTTACAAAACCAATCTGGAAGGGCTAGCTGGAATGTTGCTCGTTATGTGTTTTTAACTAAGTCAATCTCCCTATCTCTAGAGTAGGTGAAAACCAGGTATCCCAGTATTAGAAAACCAGAACTTTGACGCTGAAGATTTTCCTTGTGGAAAAGTGCCAACGAGAGCTGTGTTTTCGTGTTACACCCAAGGGAAAAAGGAGAGAATGATTTCTTGTTTTATGCTTTTTGAAAGGATTTTATGTGTTTGCTTAAGGGTGTGATTCTATTAAGGCACTGTTGAGCATCCAACCCAACCTTTTCCTTGTGGTGGGAAACTCATAGGTGAGGAATGCCCGAGGAGCAGCCCATTGCTACAGGGAAGACGAGAGGAAGCTCCCACCACCGCTGACAATGCCTGAGAGACCGGGCCCAGAGGGAGGAGGCAGGTGGCCTCAGAAAGGGCTTTATGTCCCCAGAATTCTGGAGTGCCACTCCTAATTCCCATCTCCAGGAGCCTGGAGGCCTCACCTGGGTGTGCAGAAGATATCCCTGGGACAAGAAGATCTGGCCGTTTACAGCGTAGCCTCTCCGGGGTGCGGATGTAGCCAGGATGGTATCAATAGTCTCACAGCGCTGCATGTTTTCTCCCCTGGAAACAGTTACACAGCAAGGCAAGTTTACACATTTGGCCAGAATTAGGTCAGGGAACTTGGTGTAAGCTTCATCTGTGGTACCCCCGCCTCTCGTTGTCCCCCTTCTGCCATGGACCTCTGAGAATTCCCCCTCCTTAATAACAGCTCTTCTGAGCCAGGATTCAGCACGATCCTCCCTTGGCTCTGGGGAACTGTAGGCCAAAGGCTATTACAACTGTGGACAAATCTCTGGGGTAAATTAGGATTTAATACATATCGAGAGCCAGAGAAGTAGGTATTATTAGAAAAGAGTATCCAAGACCCAGTCTATCATTCTGGTGTGAAAATTAACCAAATTCTGATAGAATCTGGTCTCGTGCCTACATTTTTGTTTTTTGAACTATAAGAAAATATTTCAGAATAGTCTTTTAAGGCTTAGTTCGTAGGATCCTGTAGGAGAACAGTAATACAGAAAATCTTTGTCAATATGAAAACCTGTGGGAAGGAGTTGGTGTCATATGAAATCAAATGAGAATAACAAGTAAGGTGTATGATCTTGTTGCTTTGCTAGTGAATAAATGAGAAATCACCTCAAGATTGCTTTGCCTTAAATTTTTTATGTGAAGATAAAAGGTTCCAATATGATGGTATGAATCTTTAATGAACTTTAATGTTTATGTATAAAAGCAGACACATCGTATATGTTAACAAAAGAAATTCACAATGGAATATTACTTATGATTTGTTCTATTTCAATTTTTTAAAACTCATTTAATTTAACATAAGTTGACTTAACCGTAGCATCCCCTGAACCCCTCATGCCCTCCCATCAATCACAGCTCAGTTTGGTGCTCGTTTCTGCGCCTCCTCCCACCTGGACCCCCCCCCCCCCAATCCAGGCTAAGAGGCAACGTGCACACGAGGAAGAAAAGGTCTGAGCCAGACAGCATGGGGTCCGGGGCCAACTCTGCCACTTTCTGTCCATCTCTCCTTAGGTGAGTTACTTTTTGCTCAGGGACTTAGTTTCTTTTTCTGTACAATGGGGATTATACGAGTTCCCACATGTACAGCACTGAAGGCAGCGCCTGGTACTTAGTAAGTGCTCAGTGAATGTTACCACCCTCAGCACCAGCATCACACTCTTCCCCCGGAATGTGTGCTCACAAAAACAACATCTGGATCCCACCTTTAATCTTTCATCCCAAGGGGCCAGGCAGGCTGCTGTGGGTATCAATAGTGGGAACAGGGAGAATGGTTAGGACCCCTTTCTGAAGCTCCCACTTTTGCAAATAGTAGAAATAGCTCCGTGCTGAGTCTAAGCCTCTTTAAGCACAGCTGCTGGCAGCAGCTGAGAACTTGCAGAGTTAAAAGTGTTCCAGAAGTACTCTGACCCCAGCTTGGCCGAATTATGGCCACGTGTAAGGCTGGCCTGGCGTCTCACCCCATCCCTGCACCGTCTAATGAACAGGCACCCAGGGCTGGTGAGGCGCTGTTTCTTCTGAGGCTGGTCTGTTCTTGGTGGGGGAAAGCGCGATCCTGTTTGGTTGATGGCAAATATTTGGAAATAAAAACATCTCAGTGTCCAGCTGAGAAGTAAACACGGCAACGCAGAATTACTTATGTAACAAACACTTGCCAAGTACTTACTCTGTGCTGGGGGTGGTTCTGTTTAGTTCCTGTGAATTAAGCACTAGTATTATCCCCATTCTACAGGTGAAGCAACAGAGGTACAGAAATCACCCAGCTAGAGAAGTGTCAGAGCTGAGCTTC